GAGAGAGAGAGAGAGAGAGAGAGAGAGAGAGACAGAGAGAGAGAGAGAGAGGAATCCCGCCTGTCAGTAGGTTAACGAGCGACAGGATTTCACCGCAGCTCACCTATCTCGACGTGTGGCGCTTTTCAGCGCACCGATGTGGCCACGCGACACTTCGCCTAATAACAAATCCAATGAAATCGGGACGAGGAGGAGGAGGAGAAGGAGGAGAAAGGAGGAGGAGGAGGAGGAGGAGGAGGAGGAGGAGAAAAGAAGAAGAAAGGTGGAGGAGGAGAAAGGAGGAGGAGGAGGAGAGAAGAAGAAAGGAGGGGGAGGAGGAGGAGAGAAGACAAATGGAGGAGGAGGAGGAGCAGATGAGGAAAGGAGGAGGAGGAGGAGAGGAGAAGAAGAATACGAAAGGAGGAGGAGGAGGAGAGGAAGAAAAAGAGGAAGGAAGGAGGTGGAGGAGGCTTCGCCACAATGGCAACAGCAACTTCACGGGCAGCGAAGACGGGGAGGGCTTCTCGACGGGGCAGCTCAACGGAGACAACGATGGGCAGCTCGACGAGGAGGAGCAGCGACAACGGGCAGGCTTTGCGACGGCAGCGACGATGAGCGGGGTTCGCGACGGTGGCGACGACGGGCGGCTTCACGACAGCAGTGACGACGGGCTTTGCAACAGGGAATACCGCGTTCAAATTTGAACGTGGCATCGTAGCCCACCAGAGGGGGAATCAATTTCTTGGCGGCTGATGTCATTCCCCGATCTTTGCGGATCGGCGGCTGGGATCAGTCGCCGAAGAGACCTTCGCCCCCTTTCCCCCTCAAAGTACTCGTAGATTCAAAAAACAAACTTTACCTGGTGTTGCTGGAGGCTGGGGAGGCGACCAGTAGCCAAAAAAGGCCTCCCCTCCCCCTCGCACGAAATTGCTCTGGGCTCGCCCGGCCCCAAACCGGGGGACCCTACCGGCCGGGCCACCCGGGACCCCTGCCAGACGAAGGCCAGGCCACCGGACAGTCGGGAGTTTAACACGGCAGAAAAAAAATCAGGAGAAAGGAAACACATACATACGTAAGAAAGGAAACACATACATACATAGAAATGATTGTGTGCTTTCTTTTTTTTGTGCATCTGTGTGTGCGTGTGTTTTCACTATGCACAACTCTACAAAAAAAGCTGACTGTCCCAGACTGTTTCGTCGGATTTTCACCGACTCATCAGGAGGTTACGCCCGAACAGTCTGCCCAAGATGCTTTTGACTGATGGATAAGGGCCTACCACATGTTCTGTCTTTTGAGTCAACTTATCTTCCGCGATAGCGTGTGTGTGTGTGTTTAACTAACCATAACGCTACCACGACGTGAATCGCGGCGAGCTGCGTTCATGGTACGTGGAGCTTTTCACACCATTTTAGAAAGACCCATACAACAAGCCTTTGCGTCACCCACACCGAGCATCTGAACACCACTGGGGCCTTATTACCCCTTGTACCGTGATCATGGCATGCAATAGCCTCTATCATTCACCAATCCTACTAAGACACAAGGACTAGAGCCCGAGGGCACTAAGCCATGAGCCATAAACAGCAGTCCAATAGGACAAAGCAACTGACAACCAGCAACAACGCATACAACGAACAGCAAGGCAAATAACGGCATCATGTCACACAGGCTGGGAGGGAAAGGGGGAGGCGGGCGGGCAAACAAACAGTACAGAGCAAGTGCTAGGGGAAGGCAAATAAAAGACGACGAAGGAAAATGCATGTGACACCAAGCAACCACAACAAAGAGCAAAGGCTGGAAGACACAGAGGAAGCAAGAGGGCAGACGACGGAAGAACATGAAACAGGCAAACCAAAAACATACATGTCTAAAGAAACGGAAGATCGAAAAAAATAAAAACTGATGATAACAAGATTGTTTCGTCGGAGTTGCACCGACTCATCAGGAGGCTGAACCCTTGACAATCTGCGGAATCTCCGTATTTGATGGTTTGGGTCATGAACCCTCTGACCCTTGTTGAAGGCAGACTGTCCCCAAGCGGAACATAGCAGCGGGCAGCAACCCTGTGGAGCACTAGGCAACACAGTAGAGGCAACACGGCTGCACAACGCCAAAAACGACTACAAGCAGCAACGCTGTGAAGCACCAGGCAACACAGTAGAGGCAACAGGCTGCACAACGCCAAAAACGACTGCAAGGAACGACATGGCACGCAGGATGCAGCGCGGAAACCGTGAAGTGAAGCCCAAGACAACACAAGCAAGGCAACAGCACCGCAGAGGACGACAAAAACTTCGCTACATCCTATACCTGCAATTCCTAGCAGATTTTCTGTCTGGGTTTCTCAGACAAAAATGATAACTGGCCCCAAAAAACGATTCCACGTGTCATTACGTGCATGTGTGTGTACAGCCATACATGTGTGTGTTTTTGTGTGTGTTCGTGTACCCACAGGACCATGGGTTTGTCAGTGTAAGTTTGCTAAGCTTTCTTATTGGCCAGCTTTTGTTCTCAGCATGAGGAGGCCAGGAAGGTACTATCTAACCCTTTTACTTAACCAGCAGGGTATTTTATTTAACTTTTTTACTTAATCAGACCAAACCAAACCACATAGACAAATGAAAGCTTGCTGTGTGTTGTGCTCCCTGCAATGCAGCCAGTGGAAATCTGGGAGATGATACGGATGATTGCAACAGCACGGATTGTGATGCCTAGTTCAATGGTCAGGTTATCGGCGGGAAGAGTACGGTTCTCCCAAGCGGAACAGGTACGTGTGACCATCATCATAGGTTTTAGCAGGAGGGGGGGGGGGGTTCTCACCTTCCTTATCTTCCCTACACTAAAGTTTATCAGCCGTGGGCACCTGACACACCCACCGTCACCAACATGGGTCGTGCGATTGTGAAAATCAACGATTGACATTTCTCGTGAAACGCTATGTTTTGTCGACACTTGGTTGTGCGGTTGGTGGACAAGTGGATAGGCTGGGTGGTCGAGAAAAATGTCAGTGAAAGGAGAGCTTCTGCGAAATTCGGAGATTTTCCGAGATCGTCAGAATCGAGAGCCATGATGACGATCTGTAAGAGTTGGTGTGGTGTGAGGGTGGGGGTTCATACCTTTTACTGTGCGGCGAATGAACACGGTCGTGTTCTGGGGAAGGATTCATTGGAAAATGAAGACAAAAGCAAATGATTTTGAGACCGAGAACCTTTCAGACGTTGCGAGGGAGTGGTGTGGATTTCAGATGCTGCAATTTTTTAGTGTTAATGAATGTGGGGTTAATTCGAAAAGGAAGGAGTGTGTAAGGTCTGATACTCGTCAAATGAAAATCGGAATGACTTCTGACACCGAGCGTGTCAGGGATTTGGTGGGTTTTTTTTTTCCAGGGAGGGTGACAGAGATTGGGATTTTTACGGTAGTGGGTGTTGATTATAACAGTTACGTTGATGTCAGGACTCAGGAGTGGTGTCAGGTAAAAAGTCAGGTGAAATGTCAGGGAATCTGCTGTCTGTTTTATTTTTGGGACCATCGAAATATGGTCGTGGTGGGTTGGGGATTTATGGTCTACGTGCGGTTGATATGAGAAGCGTTTTTGTGTGAGGGGAGCCTCATCTCATTGATCTTCGTGGTGCCTCAGGTGGTTGTTATGCTGGTGCGGGGGGGTAAGTGGAGGAGATTGCGGTGGATTTATTTCACGGCATTCTTTGTTTGTAGGGGGGTTGAGTTGTTATTGGCATTTGTTAGGTGGTGCGAGTTGATAAGGTGTGTCAGATGCATGTACCGTGAAATGTCAGGTGATGATGTTCAGTACCAAACCGGTTGATGATGTGGAATGAGAAGGTGTGGGAAATTGAGCGGTGCGGATGGACACACACACACACACACACACACGCACGGACACACGCGCGCACGCACGCACGCACGCACGCACAC